GACGGCAAATCTTTCCACTCTTGCTTCTACAGGGTATCTGGGGTGCATATGTATATCTAACTCAATATCTGTGTGTGTGTGTGTGTGTCTATGCTCATGTGCACCCCAGCTTGCTCTAGGGAATGATTGGACTTAGCAATTGAGGTGCTAGTGAGATAAGAGGTGTAATTCTCTTCTATTTTGGTGATGATTGTCTCTCTGTCAGGCACCAGCAGCTGCAACTAGCATCCTGCAGCTCCTGAAGGTACCAAAAAAAGAAATAAAGAACTCCATCATGAGAACAATTAGGAGCCCCAATTTGGTAACCCCAAGAGTTGACCCAGGGAAGGAGTCTTTAAGCTCAGTAATACCCATGACAAATAAAACTAGAGTTGATGAAGTGGGAATGGAATGGAAAAGAAAGAATCTGAGAAAAAGATACATGGAGAGAGAGACAGAGGCAAAGAAAGCCAAAAGATGGCGACACAAAGATGGGGGGGAGGTAGGAAGATGGTAAAAGGAAGTAGGTGTATTTATAGATTTCTCCTTGTATATTTCAGGTGGGGGAGTAGAAGGGAAATCACAGAAAAGCAGGTATATTCCAGTATTTTACCTGCATTTGTACTCCACAGTGAAGCCCTATTTTCTCCCAGCTCAGAGACCTGGCCAACTCAGTAGGGGAGAGCAATCTGAAAGATATCAAATCTACTGCCCCAGCCTTTTAGGACTGTAATCTTACCTTCTCATTTGAGAGATGAAATAATTGAAGTCAAAAGGGGTTAAATCACTTGCCCAAAATTAGACAGGTGGTACATCTAGGATTCAAACAGGTCTTCTGACTCTAAATTCAATGTTCTTTCCATCTTTACTGTGAATGGGGAGGGGGGCAGGGAGCCTATGCTATCCAAAACCCAAAGGCAGTGACCACTACTATTTACCTGAGTGAAGGGGACCCCAGGTACTTCTCATCTAACATGTGGAGTGGTAGCACAAACAAGGAGCAAAGAGAGAGCCTTAAGATGCTATCCAAGTTGAAGTTTGAAAGTCCTTTAATAATAATTAATAATGATAATAATAACTGGCATTTATATAGCACTTTAAGGTTTGCAAAGCACTTTAAATATGTTGTCTCATTTGATTCAACAGCCCTGTGGATTAGGTGGTATTATTATTTCCATTGTACAGATGAGGAAACTGAGGCTGAGAGAGGTTAAATGACTTGCCCAGTCACACAGCCAATAAGCATCTAAGGCAGATTCAAATTCAGGTCCTTCCTGACTCCAGGTCCAGCATCCCTACTTTTTTATCTCCTCCATCGTCAAATCCTCAAGCTCACCTGGAACTTCAATGCAGCTCCTATAGGGTCAAGGACATGGGAAGGTATCATTGCTAGCTAGCTGGTCATACCCTACATCACCAATCTGGCTTCTCTGTCCTCCCTTCTGTATCCCCAGACACGACATGTCATCGTAGACAGTGATTGGGAGAGGCTGAAAGGTCTCAGTCCGCAAGCTGGTTCTTTGAGTTCTTTATGCTTTTCTTTTCCCAATAATATTTAGCATCTGAAATCAAGGGAAGGGAGAATGTAAATCATAGGAAATCCTAAAATAAATGAGATAGTCTTAGGATATGCCAAGTAGTCCCTGGCAAGAAAGGCTAACTGGGTTAAGGAGAGCTGGGCATAAATGTGGTGGGTTCAAAATGAGATTGTGCTATCGTGTGGAAAGCATGCCTAGGGATTGAGGCCAGATGGGATCTTGGGGGGCTTCTATGCTATCATCACCACCACCCTGGTTTTCTGTATCTGTCTCCACCAGAAGGTCTTAGATCTCTATCAACTCCCTCCATCCCTGCTCCGGAGGCTGTATAACAGCCGATCTCTCTCTCTGGATGGGTTGCTGAGGCTGCTGAGCAAGACTAGTGTGGGTAAGACCCCAGTCCCCTGGTACAGGGTTAAAGAGATGGCATGAGATATAAGATCTTGGGGTGGGGGTAGGGGTGGGGATCTGGAGAACCACATCAGGGAATGGGTCCATCTAAGGCACCCTCGGTGAAGTTAAGGTGATAAGGAGCCAAGAGGCTGCTGGGTCAGGGCACTGGCTGAGGGATCTTGCTTTGTTCTATTTGCCCTTATCTCTTAGTATCATTTCCCCAGGACTCCCTCTCACACCAGCCCATGCTTTTCCTTACACGCATTTCCTTGGTTTTATAGATCCTAAGGAGTCCATGGATTTCCAGAAACGTAAGTAGTCCTTTCCATTACTCTCTCCCCTTCCTCCACTCCTTCCCTGATGACTGCTCAATGCCCCCATGATGCTTAGGCCCTGGTAGGCTATTTGGTAAGACCCATCTCAGCTGGAACAAACCAATAGTCTAACTGAGCCAGCAGCGCTTTCTCAGCCAGTTCCCTCCTGGATTTGAGGGTTGTAGTTGGCACCATGGAAAGATTATCTATCTGCAGTTGAATGCTGCTCAGCAGGCAGCTGGACTGGCATCTGTAAAGGTTCCCAAGCCAAGTGGGCAAGGAGAGGAAGACGTATGAGGGAGGGAATTTCGTGGGTTGTCCTCCATTCTCGAAGAGGATCATGACATCAGGAAAATGATACCATGACTTGCAAGTCAATTGGATTTAAGTGAGGGAGGGCTGTGCAAAGTAACCAGCCTCACTTTCTCCTCCAGAGCCATCTGGGTCCAATGACTAGACATAGATCAGGACAAACTAGAGATGACTCTGGATGCAGGGGTCTTTTTAATCTAAGGTCTTTCAGAGTTCTCACTTTCATTCAGTGATTAGGGCTATTTAAGAAGTGAGCCAAGGGATGGTCACTTAAATCCTCCCCCCCCACAAAAAAAAAGAAAAAAAATCAGACTGGGAGACTGGGAAGGGAAGACCCTCAGGGTTTCTGGACAAAAGAGAAACAGTTGCTATTTACATTCACTTTGAGCCATCTGGGCCCAAATTTCAGGAAGTAATTAAGAGGCAGAGAAAGGGAGAAGAAAATCTGTAGGGAGTTAAGACACTGGAGCCCACACCTCTTTGAAATAAGGGAAGAGAAATGAAGATACCAGTAGATAAGACAGAAAGTCTCAGCTGGCTCAGTTGACAAGAAGTGTTCTGAGTGCTGGGGTTTGCCTCCTCCTTTCTTTCACTATCAGCTGATGTTTCTATCTCTCCTTCTACAGGTGACATGCATGACTTCTTTGTGGGGCTCATGGGAAAAAGGAATATACAATCAGGTAAATGTGGGGTGGAGTAAGGGCTTAGGGCCTAAGTGCTGCACAAGATAGAACAAAATTCAATGTCCTAAATTAAGAACCAGAGGAAAAGACTATTTTCCTTTTTGAGGGATACTATGGTCCCTGAACCCTGAATCCAAGGGCCACACTTGAGGACCTAGAGGGCTACATGTGGCCTTGAGGCTGTAGGTTCCCCACCCCTGCATGGTCCCTCATTCACTCTCCTTTCCCTCTCTCAATCAATCAACTTAAACCCCGGCCCATATTGAGGCTTCTGGAATAAAGGGAAGAAACACTGGTGGGCCATCCCAGCTGTAGTCATGGAATAAGATAAGAAGAGTGGGGACTCTAGTCCTGTCTCTCCTTCCTGTCACTCTGAAAAGAGCCCCTTTTCTTCTCTCATCTTTAATTTCTAATCCTAATCTGTCAACTAGTCCCCAGTTTCCATACTATAGCCAATCCTTATTTGATAAGGATGGGGTAATGGTACAAGTACATGGTGGCCAGACTCTGAAAAGCCCTCTCCTAAGTTCCTTGTTTGTCCCTTCCTCAGAACCACCTATGGAGGTGAACCAAGAAAACTTCCCTGGTTTTGGTGATCCCAAGTATCCTCCCAATTCAGAATGAGGTAAGTCCAGAAGCAATGGGAGGGAAGGCTGAGGTGAGTATGACAAATGAATCACAACATAGATATATGTCAATTGTGCACCTCCTTCCCCTTCTTGCTGTTTCTCAAGAAGCCCATCTTGATAAAAAAATAATTATGTGAACAAGTGGTACCCACAAAGATGATGCCAGAGCCTAAGCTTCAATCTGGAGCATGAAGTAGGGAGCCTGAGTGGTTAGGGTTGGGTGGTATAGACAGGGATCGAGGCAGAGGCCATAATACTTTTCCCTGGGATTTCTCTAACATTGACACTTGTTTGGTTTTCCCTCTTTATCAGAACCCCTCAGGTGTCAGGGGTAAAGATTTTATAATCCATGTAAAATAAAATAAGACTGTTATCTAAATTACAGGCACCATCTCTAGTTTATAAGAGAAAGCATTTGCAATTCACTTTCCTTTTGTGTCCTATAAGAATCATAGGAGTTTAGATCTCAAAAGGGTCATTGAGAGGTCATCTAGTCCAGTCCCCACACTGATGCTCTACAGAGACCACATTTTCATACCACCAGATTGGGACACATGGTCTGACAAAGAATATTTCTTTTTTTTCAAAGCCTTGTTAAAAGTATACTTTTGTTTCTTAAAATTCAGAATAGATGGGCACTGTGGCTATTCTATAACAAAGAATGAATTTGTAAGGAACAGAAAGTACCACTAAATCTAATGGGACCCAGCTGAAAAGGATATCCTAGGTTCTACTGCCTAGCAGGGGTTGGGGGAGGAGGTGGCATCCCTGTTGAAACTCTTGGCTGACTGTGAGGCTGATGCCAGGCTGACTGAGCTGTCCATGCTGGACCCCTTGGATGAATAGGCTGACAGATTTCTCACTTGGTGAGCTGGGTGTGATAGTCCCCTTGGGGATATGTCTAGTCAAAACACAGAGCTTCTCACCCCAACACCATCTTCCCCCCACACAGGAGTGACTCATCTGGTCCTTTCATTTCATTAATTTCCAGAGAGAGCCAGTGTCTTAATACAGGTTTAGGAAGATTCAGAATACCAATAGTCCAAGAAAACACGCAGCATACAAGACATTGCTTAAAGCAAGCTAATTTTATCTAGGGGACATACTTAGAATAAGCAGAGTAGACAGGGAAGTTGGAAATAAGTCAGGTCTGTTAAAGTCTGGGTAGAACTGAGCACCCTGCTGGCGTCCTGGTGGAAGGAGGCCCCCCCACCCAACCAGTAAACTCTGGAGACAGGCCAGGCATTGGAGGAGGGGTCGAGGAGCCTGTCCCTGGGGACTGATGCTGATTCATGCTAGTTGGGGAGGGAGGGAAGACTCCTGGGGAGTTTCTATTCAAATTCCCCACCTGTTAGGAGAGGGGCTTTGGGCAGATACTGTTACTCTGAAAAGTGACTCAGGGATTTTAAACTTCCTAGGGCTTCTTTGTTTACTGGGGTAGGGAGGATACTGGGGTTGTTACAGCCAGGAAGATACAGTAGGAAATTGGGAGGAAGAAGAAAATTTGGAAATTCACAAATTACCTTGGAGAGAACCCCATCCCTAACCTCATGGGCCCTGTTACTCATGCTAATAGACCTTAGGGTGCCAGACCAGAAATCCATAGACTCACCTTTGAAGTGGTACAGTGTATATATGATTCCCAGTAGTTAGGGGAGGCTGGGTCTGGGTCCCCATTTGGTGCTGGGTGACTGGGCACAAAGAGCCTTAATAACCGTAACTCGTTGATTACATGGTACTTACCGTATCATTTTACTCTCATTAGATGGTTATTTCAGTCCTGCCAATGGCTGGGTAATTATACGGGCAGCTATATCGGGATGATATACTTTCCCCCAGTGTAATGCACCAGCCCATAAAGATAATTACAGTGCAATTTTGCCATAGTATTTTATACAAATGGCAGAAATCAGAGCATTGTGGAAAACTACTTTTAATCCATGGGGGTGAATCCAAACTCTTTTCAGAAGATCTAGGAACGTAATTATGTCCCCTCCTCATCACCATCACCATACCATCATTGGGTGAATGGATCATTCACAACTTGTGGAGTGTTAGGCAGAATAGGTCATGAGGTTTGGGGGGAGGGGAGAGGTGCAGGGAGAAGATGGAGGTACCATTGAAAGAGATGTTTTGAAGTGAATCAATATATTGTTTTCTTTTAATGGAGGGGGAGGAATTTAGGGCAGTAGTTCTCAAGCTTTGTTATTCTCTGGACCACTTAATACTCTTAAAAATTATTGAGTCTGGGTGGAACTGGGTGGAACCCCACTCAAAGAGCTTTTGGTTTATTTGGCATGTCTATCGACTTTTATTGTATTAGAAATTAAAACATCTTAGTATTATTATGTAAGTAGTTTTGACCTCACAAATCCTGGTCCATACTTTGTGAACAGCTGGTCTAAGAGAAGGTTGCCCTCTTATTTCTTTCATTTAAGACTGTGATCATTCAAGGCTCTTCTTTATTACTAAAGACTCCCAGGAGGAAGTAATAGGGATTGATTGGGTACGGGATCCAGAAACACTCACACAAGTACCCTGTGTAGGGATATGTGATGGGGCGCCCTTGGTGTACGGACAACTGGCTTACGGAGATGCCAGCAGAGTCCATCTTAGGCAGTGTGTATAGGTGCACAAATATAACCTGTATTGGATTGCTTACCATCTCAGGGAGGGGTTAGAAGAGGAAGGGGGGGATAGAATTTCTAATTTGAAACTTTAAAAAAATGTTAAAAATTGTTTTTACATGTCATTGTGGAAGAATAACATTGTATGTCTGTCTGTCTGTCTGTCTGTGTGTGTGTGTGCATAGGTGGTTATGAGCAATGAAACCACCAGTTAAATGTGATGCCCTGGAAGATAAAGAAATTGTGTCGGCAGGGGAAATCTAGCTTCTTATTAGCCCTTCTTACAGCCTACAGAAAAAGCAAAGTGTTAAGACCTTGGCTTTCTCTCCTTTCCCCAGCAGATTTCTCCAAACTGGCTGTTGGAATGGAAGCCAAGAGTCTTGCAAAAGACAAAGAAAATGTGCTTTTTTTCCTTTTTTGCCAGAGTTTCTCATACTGTCCAACTCCTGGGACTCTGGACTGCATTTTGAAGACATTTTGCCTGCCTCCTCTCAATCCCTGGATAAAATACCCTCAATTCTATTTGCTCACCCATTGCTGTATCACTCTCCTGCTTTGATTACTCCATCCGCACACCCACCATACAAACCACATAGAGAGTAACATCAATCCCATGGGCACTGACTACAGATGCCAAGCAATTTTCTTTAGTGACAAATTCAAAATATAATCTCTATACTCATCATCAATAAAAGAATTTTTACACGTGACTTAGAGTGGTGTCTTTCTTGGTTTGGTTTGGTTTTTCATTGACTACTAGTTTATTTCTAAGCTTCTAGAGAGGAGGGACCATTTCTTATACAGCTTTCTATCCACCCCCACCCCCCAAGGCACCTCACTTGGGCTCCCCTCAGCATAACTGGTGCTCAGTAAATATATGTGGAATTAGTATACTCATTAAGGTAAGGATTTGGAAGGTAGTGCCTAAAGCCCAAAGACTTTCAGAGGCCTATCCCAGACAAAGACATATGGAGATTTTGAATACCTTATCTGAGCTTCTAGGAGATGGATATAGCTATAGAGGGGGGGAAAACAGTTTGAGATTCTGATTCCTCAAGGGGTAGCTAGGTTGCTCAGTGGAGAGAGCACCAGCTCTGGAGTCAGGAGGACCGGAGTTCAGATCCAGCCTCAGATACTTGCCACTTACTAGTTGTGTGACCCTGGGCAAGTCACTTAACCCTGATTGCCTAACCAAAAAAAGAGAGAGAGAGAGAGAGAGAGTGATTCTGATTTCCCTTCTCTAAGCTCCTACTTTAAGGAGGCAGGTGTTAAGACTGAGCAGAGGCATATCTATGGAGAAAGGACCACTTTTTTGGTGCAGCTGTGTCAAACACTCTAGCATCCCAATGATGCTGGAAAAGAGAAATATAAACTGCCCCCTCCCCCTCTCCATCTTAATCCAATAACTCTGGTGAGGTGGGGGTTAACTCAGTGGTTCAAAAAGATGTCAGAATCCTTAAGGATGTGCTTAGTTACCATCCCCTACAGCTCTGGTCCAACAATTTCCATTATGTGAACTGAGCTTTGGTTTAAGGGCAGGGGCTGAGGGAGAGGGAGGGTGTCTGTTATTAATTCAATGTGCCATAAATCTCAGTCCACTAATCCCAAGGGGAATTTCATACCCCAATGACAGGCTGCAGAATTCCCAGTGCTGCCTACCAGCAACCTAAACCCTGCCACTTGGGGTGAGGGCTTCTCCTAGACCAGGTGCCCAATACCCTCCTCCCCAAGGTGAGGCAAAAGCAGGAACCACAAATGGAAGAGAAACATTTTTTATGAGGAAATCACTTTCTTTTCCAGATCCTTGATTCTTGGGCCAAAGTCTTAGATCCATAAGGTGGGGCCATCCCCAGTCCTGACCTATGTCTTGCCATTGAACTCCGATGATTCTGGAGGAGTGGGGCTGATGACTTTGCACAGTTCTGCCTCACTTAAATCTAATTCATGCGCCAGTCAAGATATCACCCTCATGATGTCATTGGTCTCTTTAAGAACTCAGGACGAACAACAACAAAATCCATAAAGCACCCTTAACAAGATGTGCTTAGAGCCAGGTGAACCTTAAACTCCCCATCATCCACAGGGACAGGCTGGGAGGGACTTGGTTTGCTCCAGCCCTCTCTGGCCTGCTTCTTCTCTAACTAGTGAAACATTCCCCCTAGGCTATGCCTACTAGCTATGTGACCCTGGGCAAGTCACTTAATCTGATTACCTCAAAAAAAATTATATATTCACTTTAACCAAAGAGTAATAATAAAGTTCTGTTTTTGAAAGAAAGAAAGAAAGAAAGAAAGAAAGAGAAAGAAAGAAAGAAAGAAAGAAAGAAAGAAAGAAAGAAAGAAAGA